GTAGGCGCACATTTCTTGCTGTCTTTCCTTTTCAGGCCTGTTATCAGCTTCACAAATATGGAGATATAATAGATGATATAAACATGAATTCCAGGCACGGCTTCCTTAATTTTGCTGACCTAATGCTCACATTAATGACGCCAATGCCCACATTCTTTCCTTCCATCAGTGACGGTCCTTAAAGGCGTCAAGGGTTTTCAATGAGCACCCTAGATGCAATCAAAACTTCATTTTGGACTTGTGATAAAGTTCTAGATACATCCATTGTCGACCAACGGAAATGTAAAAAAAAAAAGAAGAAAACCGCTGCGATTGCGTTCTGCGTCCCGTTAGAAAAAATGTAGATTTTGGAGAGCGCAGGATGTTCCACTCCCTTCATCGACCAAGGAAGGAGGAGCGCCTCTCAGGCGCATGCACCAGTGATGATTAACGTAGAAAGGACCATTATCAACCTGGCTAATGACTGACTAACTCCCTTGTTAGTCAGACTATCGCCTCCTAAACTCGTCCATACATTGGTCTAATTACCATCCCATGCTCCTTTCATGAAAGGCGATGCACCGCTGTCAAAAAACAAGATTGGTAGTCTGAATGAAATCAATTTATAGGACTTTGCAGATAACCGACGAATGGGTGGCCGGACTTGGTCTTGGACATTTTTGTCCTTCCAAGCATGAAGTCTGACTCACCGTGAATCATGAGGTAGCAGCATACTGCTACGTCATGGTTCATCACATGGTTCACGATTCTGCATTACAGAGGTAGCAGTGACTTCGTATCTCTTCAGCGAAGAGAAACTGATGCGGAAATCGACTTCTCATCACCCGCACTGGATTTTGTCTTTTCGGAGGCGCCAAAAGGTGCCTCCGAAAATCCTCCGGTGCTATTTGCGTACAACGGTGTCGTTTCTGGTTCAATCGTGGTCGGAAGCCAAATAAAGAGGAAAATTTCCATAGCGAAAACGGGGGACCAGTACTTTCTACGGTCTTTGGAAAACAAATGTAGACCTAAGACGGAGCTCAACCCCGTTGTATTACGGTTCAGGAACGCTAGAGGTCCTTTTAGACATCAAGTGCCAGAAATAGAAAGGCTGCGGTCGAGGGGGTTGAGGAGTCATAGAGCGACAGGGTTACTTAGCCTCACCCTGGGGTTCTCTGTCTCCCTTTGCCAACGAGTGCATTCCTTGAAGTGAGCCCTCCCCATTGCCCCTCTTCATCCTGCTTTTATTTTTCCGGCCTGGTGTTTTCCGACTCTTTCTTCAAAATAACAAAATTGGATCGCGACCTCTTTTTCCTTCTATCAGGGCCCTGCCTTATGGAGGAACACGTTGCCCCGAGATACCACACTGAGGAGATGGACGTCATTAATTTTTAATGAAGAGCTTCCCAAGTTCTCGTATTTCCAGTATTCTTGCTCTTCAACTCAGTCCTAATACGTGGAGGAACTCTACTAACCAACGAGGAAAGATTACATCAGTGAAGCAGCTTTTTTTCAGGGTTATTCCATTCTAGAATTCTAAATATAAAAAAGATGCCGTAAAGATAAAAATATGTGAATACGCAACAGGTTGTGTGTCACTGAATGTGAGGGTACCAGGAAGAGTCGGTCGACAGGAAACCGACGGAGTATCGCTTTTCTTCTCAGGCTTCTGAGAGGTGTTTTGACATGTTCATTTTTCATTTATCTTCTCGGCGCCCCGAAAAAACGCCCTCTAAAAAAATATCCACGGAAATAACGCCCGCTGAAAAAATTCCCTCTTGAATGTTATTGCCCAATGTTTCTTGTTTTTATTTTCTTTGTTCTGCAAACAAAGGCATCTTATTTATTGCATTGCTGGAATAGTACAAATCAAATAATAGAAAAAATGTTGATGGCACTTGAAGCGTTTGCGCAAAGTGGAATTTTTGACAGCCACATATTTTTAATTACTCTGGAAACGATTATTATGTACCACTCCGCAAAGCAACTGCTGAGAGTGCTCCACATACATGAAACCTTCGAAGATGAGTTTTCGCCCGCCTTTCAGGTCCGTGATGAACTTCACGGTTACTTGAAGTGAAACGAACAGGCATAAGACATCTCTTTTATATTTGAACAGTTTCTAAGATACTTGGAACAATGCCATCCTGCTCCCCTACCCAAACTCCACAGGGGCACGAGGAGATTGTCAATCAAGAGTTGTCAGGGGATTATCTAAAACCCAGCTTAAAGACTTACTTTCCTCTGCAGGGAGCTTCACCTTTCAGCCTTCCTCGGGATCATTACGCCTCCATCTCCGAGATAATTGCAGGCGAATTCCACATTCCCTTGTCACACTTCATTGACCCCTTTGCTATCGACATAAGCAAGGGGGAATTAGCAACAAAATCCGTCAGATCTGATTCTGATCTCAAGTGACCTGTTTCCCACATTTCCCTGGGCATTTCAGGAAACAATCCTACCTTCATTGATCCAGCTTTGAAATATTCAGGAATGTATATCGAAGAAATTTTCATCTTCATGTTTATGTTTAATAATGTTGATGATTATCTATTTAATGTATTCCATGGTTATAAATTACTTAAGGAATATATTCTGCATTCGCTTTGCCCCCCCCCCCCCCCAAAAAAAAAAGAAGCAGCAAGAGATACATGTAAATATTACTCTAGCACTTCGTTTTCCTCTCCCTCATATTCTCGCAACGCGGCACTTTCTACCATCTCGTATGGTGTATTCTTATGGGATGCGATCGTCCATGTAATCCCAAGCGATTGAGGGAAAACCCTAAATGTCTGCTGTCCAGTCGAGACAATGGAATTCCAGGACTACGTGGAGCAGGCTAATAAAAAGGAACACATTGAAAAGGTTTTCTTTGCTCTCTCTATCTGATAGATCTCCCCCTCATTTCCGTATGAGTTTTACTGGAGACAGTCGATTGTGAGGTATGTGCAATGGGAGCCTTCCCTAACAGTCTTAGGGGAACGAACGAGCAGTGAGGATGCCTGAGTTAGAGGGTAGAAGGCCACACGCCCCCGAGATCAAGAAAAAGGAGCGGGAGAGACGAGGTCGTGACCTCCACTAGGCCTCTCACCCGCTCTCACCCCAGGGGGACAAACATGCTCGCGATCACTATGGCCGGATTGGGTTTTTGTTTCCCCCCCCCCCACCCGATCTTTTCCCATTCTATTTCGATGGTATTTACAAAATGACATGAGCTATTTGATGCCTCACCGGATTCAGCAGCTCGTTTCGTCGATGTCATCTATCCATCGAGCAGATCGTGTTCAAGTTCAGCACATCTTCGGATGCCAATCTCAAGTTTCTAATGAACGCAATCAACGTATATTCATCATGATCTCGGTGAGCGCCATTGTGGGGCACGAGGCAATAAGGTAGCTACATGGGTTGAAATGTAGAGAAACATGCGCACTCCTCGACTAATTATTGTTAATAACCATGAAATCTCGGATATAGGAAAGTGGTTCACTCAATCCGCCAGGAGCTCAAGAACGGCTCTATCGTGAAGTGGCAAGAGAGGAAAAGGTATCTGGGGTCATAAATGGCGATGCCCTCACACCACATTTCCTGGGTAATTCACAAGTTTTCTCTGCAAGCCTCATCCCACGACCTTGAAACTATTACACGTTTCTTCACGGAGTTTTCAAACAGTTTCATCAATAGAGTCCACCTATTCTAGGTAGTCGTTTCGGGCCATTAGTATGACCCCATAGCTGCTGAGTGATGGCTAATTTTCTCCGTGAATATTCATCCCACACCCTTGAAACCCCTATCGAATTCATGGTATATTAGTATGAGTTTGTTTCCATATTTAATTAAGATTGCTCAACTCTCGGTCCTCATTTTGTTTTTGGCGCCGAGTAATTTTCTTTCAAGGTTGTGGTATGAAGTTCGTGCATGAATGGAAGAGTTCTAGCCATGGGTCTACATGTCTAACGTTAGGCCAAATTAATCCAGGATGGGGTTAACATGGTCAACGTCCTAAACACCAGAGGGAGGGAGAGGGGTTTCACATAATGAATTTTGTCCGACTGTGGAAAAGAGACTATTACCCACGCACCGGGAGCAGCATATGGGGTCTCAGTGCTTCGTGGCCTTCCTCTTGCCTGTCGAAAAGAATTTTTTTTTTCTCTATATATGGACAATGTTCGAACAGTTAAGTTAAGCGAGCTTTGTAATTCACTCTTCATGATAAAGTGGTGCAAGCTGGATGCTTCCTTTTTGGTGACAGGGAGAACAATATGTGTAGGTGTGAGTGTAATAACGATGTTCTTCGAAGCTTTGCTTCCAAAGTGCCTATTATGTGGGTGGGTGTCTGGACTAAGATGCGAAAAAAAAGAAGTTTTAATACAATTTAGTCTTGACACGGTAAGGCAGAAATCTGTTCTTAACATGTGCATTCCATGTAGCAATACTGTTCCCTGGTTTTCAGTGGAATAAGAATTAAGCGCGGAAACAGACACTGTGAAGCGCTAAAGTAAGGTCGTTTACGTACGTATTCTTGAATTTCTCGTGTTCCAGATGTAGCATTTACTTAGGCGCAACATTCAAAATCGTGCGAAACAATGATGACCACTGCATATCCTTCGCTTAGTAACATGTTCATCTTGTGCTGGGAAGAACTCTTTCTGAGGACAATCTCTTGAGTACTAATTATATTTTTTAACAATGCAGGCTAGTTTCAAACTTATAAGGTTTTACCCTAATAAATTGATTCGTTCGATTAAATAATGACTTTCAGACATGTTCGACCTTCCTATGAGAAATGAGCGTTCATCACTTGCTTCACATGCTTTCGGCATAATTCAGGCATCCTTCCAATATTGGCTATCAGCAGATTATATATTGTTCACACCCAAACCAATGTCATTACATCTCTACTTCAGTCTAATCCAATACAATACCAATGAGCAGCGCTCATGGTCACCATGTCAGCAAGGTCCATTTGCAAGGCAGACACTTCAGCTTTCTTATGAATTACATTTACAAATGAAAATCCAGGATTAAGATGAAAGAGAACTTCATTTGCCTCAGAGCCTATCATCAGACGTGCTTCCTTGGTCTATGTAGAACTGTCAAAAAAAAGATCTGACCAAGAGAAAAGAAACATTTCTGGGTATACATACAAACCAACCCCCAGAGGCCTGGAGAAATCTCCCAAAAGATATGACAGAGAAAACAATTCACAGAGAATTGCCTTTCATCTGATGTGGAAGACCATCACTTGCTGAAAATTTGATGCATGCAAGGTACTTCCACCAAAAGCAGAGAAGGCTGAAGGGACAAAGAACACACAGAATGGCAGGAATTTTCCTGCTCAGTCCTTCTATCTCTTTCCCAAAACACTGGATGGGAAATAATTACGCAGAAAAATACACATTCTCTTCCACAGTTGATGAAGTTTTCCTTTCCCTTGCCTCAGCACTTTCACTGAATGGAGTGGTCAGATTTTACAAAAATCATGGCTGTGTTGATGATCTGGTGAGATGGATGAAAAATAAAAAAGATGAAAATGCTGAAAAACAAAAAGCAATATGTAGAATGGGATGAGAGGCTGTGGAATGTTCTCCTGAGGAGAATTCAACATGGGACTAACATCACTGGTCCACTTTGGGAACTTTGGAGGGCGGCTCATCATCGGAGATGGAGACAGAGGCTGATGCCTGCCTGGCAGGTGCAATCCCTTCATCATGGGGCAAATCAGAGAAGTTTGAATTGGAATTCTCAGCATACCCAGGACTGGGGGATTGCTTTGTGCTGCTAGGGGGATGGTTGGAGTCAGAGAGACCAGAATCTCGACTCTGGTCATCTTCCTCGTTCCCATTCGGTCCATTCATCTCCTGCACAAGATTAACCATGGCATAATTTTATTATTTGCTTTTTCAAACCAGCTGTCCCAAAAATGACATGCAGTATTGGGTACATCAGAAAAAAAGAGCAGTGCCTTGACAAGCCATTTGAGAAAACACAAAACTGAAACACATGCACTTTTTGAATGCTTCTCATGATTTTGGATGTTGTCCAGGGATTGTTTAGGGGACTGTACAAGCTTACACCTCTTTCTAACCCACATAGTGGGCTATGATAATGGAGGAATACAGGGAGGCAAAAGAAACTGGATTATTTTACAGTACCCCATCACAAACTTTTACATATATTTATGCCAAACATGAATGCTTTAGGGAAAGGTGTAGAAACCAATACAATGGAAACAATAAGTATACAGCAATCTTTCTCATACATGAAGAGTTCAAAGGTAATATGCAACAGCAATTCCAGTCAACACATATTATGCTATGTCCATTTGTGTTTCAATACTTGAGGTGAATTGTCAACAGGAGTGGAAGTTTACTAGCTCCATGAGTGACAGACTATCCAATGTGCATGACAGGATCTTACATCATATCACACATTCTTACTGGAATGGTTCATGACTTAAGCCATTGGAGGACAATGAAAAGGTTAAAGTGGAAACAAAGGGACAAAAGATAATCTAACCTGCTGAGACTCTCCATTCTCAGAGTGAGTTTTAGTGGCTGGGGAAGAGGGAACTTCATCTCCACAAGGCAACTTATCCAAAAGGGATGCTTTTAATTCAGATGCTGTATAATGACACCAGAGAGCCAACTCCACTTTGTGAGCAGTCCATGAGGCTTTTCCTTCTGTGTGTCCACCTGTGCAAAAAGAAAGAAGCAACTTGAGATTGCTGCAAACTAAAACAGTAAGAAACAAAGAAAGGATGTATACAGGCTGTTCGTATTTAAATGCAACATAAGGAATATTTTTCTGCCTGCAGGTGGAGGTTGGCAAATGCTATAAGGACCACCAGGTTGCCTATCTACAAGAAAACACACCAGTTTTAGGTTTCAACCTTCCAGATAAGCAACTTGGTTAGCCATAAGGCACATGCTGAATTCCACAAACAAGTGGCAAAAATTTTCCTATGTTGTGTTTAAATATGAACACCCTGCATATATATATATATATATATATATTTGCTCTTACTCTGTCGGTTAAGTCTCTTGACAACTTCAGAGATTTGTTCAAGAAAAGTGAGGTACTCCTTGAGAGTATAGTCAATTCCCTCACTCCCGGGTACTGACAGGAGGCACTCATCTGCCATGAAAGGTATCCTCTCAGGACAACCAGCAGCCAGGATAGCTGTAAATGCATGCAAGGGAACAACATATAGGTCTGCACCTCAGTACTGTCACACTGACCAGAACTTTTCTCTCCCTCCACTGCAAAAACACATAATCAAATCTGCACTGAAAGAATTCCTTACCATAAGGGAGAATGGAAATCTTTATGATGGCTTTGCTCACAACAGGGATGAAATACTGAGTCATAATTAGGAAAGGTTTCCATCAAAAGGAAGGCTACTTGTCACATATCACCTACAAATTCTATGGTTACAGCAATGACTAGAAACTCTGACATGGTTTTTGGAAATTTCTGCAATTTTTTGTAGCATAACAGATGTGGGAAGCCTGTTTGCATATATGGGTACAATTACAGTAGACATTTAAATCTAATATAAACACTAATAAAAAAAGTTAGGGATATCATAAAATTTCTATGATCTGAGTAAAGACCAAACATTGTTTGAGAATGAACATGTATGGCTATATTAGCACTGGTGACACTGGGATCTTGAATACAGCTCCCTTTTATTTATTTACTTTTCAGGAAACAGGTTTTCTGAAGAACCTCCTTCCGATTGTAGAGCAACACCAATATCCCACCTTTCTTCTTAAGAGTTTATTTCACTAGTTGGCAATGACTTCTTATGCATCTAGTCATGTAAAACTATTAGGAGGCCACACAACTTTCAAATTTCAGTGTATACGAGTATCAGGCTTCATAGCCAGATAGCCCTTGATTTGTATCAAACTGTATTAAGTGGAAAAAAACTTAAAATCTAATTCACAATAATTACTCTAAAAGGTCTTACAGGTCCCTATCAGATAGTACACTATGGCCAATAATATGTCTTTTTTTTGTTGAGAATATGACAGGTAAAATTGTAAAATATCACCACAACCCATTAGAGACTTGGTGGGATGGGGAATTACATGAAAAAGTACTGCTTTGATCAGTATACAATTTTCAAGCTGTAAACACCTTGCTTCAAGGCAAACACTCCACTCTCCCTAAGTGCCTTGTATTGAGGTGGTCCTCTGCTCAACAACACCTCTGCAAAACTGTTCAATCAACAGATGATGCAATACACCCCAAATCCCATGTTTTATAGTCCAAGTCTCGATGTTATAACTGATTTAGATATCCTGAGTTACCCTCCAATTAGGCATATAGCTGTTTGTTCCAGTTGAACTAATAAACAAGGAATTGATAAAAAGCATAACTCTCTCTGAATACTTATTGTTTACATATCAGGCTCACAATCAGTATTAAGAAGGGATGAAATTGCATTCATGGTATTGCAAGACAAATTAAAAGACATCAAGAAAAACTGACAAGGGTTACTTTAACAATGTAAAGCAAGAAATAGTTTTACATACAGTGAGTGAGCTAATTATACATTATTGCCCATATTTAAACCAAACAGGTGAAATTCATACTAGAACCAGAGACAGGACTGCATGGATGGAATGAAGATAAAGACATAAGGTTACCTGAAGCCATGGCAGGGCCCACTCCTTTGAGGTTGCAGAGTGCTTGGATAGCACTGGACACATCATCTTTTTTCAGCAAAGCACGGAATGCTTTCTTAGACTCGGACTGCACATGTCGAGGAGTATTCATCTGGACCAACTCCTTTAGACGAGGGCGAAACTTCCCACGCTGCAATCAAAAACCAAGGGAAATAAAAGGAAATGGTTAGGCTAGTAATAGAGGTCTGGGACTTATAAAACAAGGTTGATCCCATTAAGCCCAAATAGGAAAAAATAAATAAAACAAAAAGAAGGGAGAAAGAAAAAGGGTCTTCATGCTTAGAGAGGCCTCTTTTGGGGAAAACAGGATTTCTTCGATTTAAAAATGTACAAATTACTTGGGAACAACAGTAACTTCAAAGGAAACATCACATTTTCTTTGGAAAATGTCAAATTAACAAAATGTATCAATTAACTTCATCAATAATAACTTCATAGCAAAACCAATAGTCAGCCCAAAATGTATATACTTGAGGATAATTACATAAAAAGACAGTACTCAATGAATAAAAAAAAAGTAACCACTCAATCTAAACTCAGGGTAGTATATAATTGTAAGAAGCTTACATTCCAACTTTGAGCCTGACTTTCTGGATTTGAAACATTTTCATTAGCCACACATTTAACCCATCCTTATTTGTATTTTGGAACATAAAGGAAACATTAAAGGGTATATGCTTATTTTCTTTAATAACCTTTAAGGAAGACTAACTCACTCTCCTCATCAACAAGGAAAATATGAGATAAAGAGTAAACCTCACCGCTAATTTCCATTTCATACATTGTACAAGTTCATCATGAGTCAGGTGCTTGTCCTTGTCTCTCTGTCTCAGATTCTTTGGCAGCTCTTCCTGGTACCTAATATGTCGAAGGTAAAAAGAGGACAATTAACGAAAACAGAAAATGTAGGGGGAAGCCAATCAATGTGGAACCAAGGAGGAAATTCAAATCAAGGCAAGCCAGCTGGTTTCTATAATTCTTTCAGGGCATGGAATGGCCACATTCAAAATGGTTCAAGGCTGAGCCTCAAACCTGAACTTTGATTAATGTCATTTAACTCTTCATCTGGAATTACCTACACTGCTTTTGGATTGAGTTTGTACTCTCCAAAGACGTGCTTCCATGAAGCAACATCTTCCACTTTGGCAGTTTCATGGATTATCTGATTAAATGGATCCTCTGGACAAAGTTCTTTCTCTGTCCTCCACTATGGGGGGGGAATTGTTCATGAATTATATCTGAGAAGTGTATTACAATTTTTAGATACTCAGGAAAAAAACAGGCACCACTTCGAATTTTGGAATGGAATCCCAAAGGCAATGTTTAATATTATTATTTTTGCCTCTGAGTCTGTTCCAAATTTCATATAGGGTCATATATGAAAATATATGGCCCCATACAATTGTATCATTTATGCCATGTCACCTTGTTCACCAGAGAATAATATCATGGACTGTGAAGTTTGGGGAAGAAGGAATTTTGGCAAATGAATCATTTCATGATTTGGTAACTCCCTTTGGACTCTGATGGGACTCTCAAAGACCTCTACATTTCTCATGACAGCAAAAGCAAATTAAACTAATTTTTTCTTCTGTTTCTCAGGTCTGTCTGGAATTAGGAGAGAAAAACATTAAGGGTGGATTTTTGAACAGAGCACTATCCGATAATGCTCTGTTCAAAAATCCACCCTAAGTTTAGGAATTTTTGTGCAAGAAAATTCAACAAGGTGTACCATAAATCACCCTAAAGACACCCCTTTCTGAGATGTTTTTGAAGCAATTTCCGTATTGCAGGTTGATGTTTGCCACCACATTGTCCATTGCCATGCCAAAGTTGAAGAGTTCCTATAACCAGTTGCCAGAAAGACATGAACTGGATATGTACAAGGAAAGTATAAAAAAAAAAGTCTCCTGGCTTCCCTGTTCTGGGAATGTACTCAGATTTAGCAAAATGGTATGTCATCAGTGACTTCAGGGAAAATGATGCCCTACACCAGGAGTTCAGGGCAAAGCCATTGACTGACCAGACACGTCTTCTTGGACAAGAAATACCTGGATAATGCATTGTAGTAATTCCTACCCAAGAAAATGCAAATTGCAATTTAATGACATCGTCCATAACTCTAGGCTCAGGGCACCATCATTCTCCATGAAAATGTGGCATTTTGCACATTCTCAGCAAATTCCTTACAGGAAGGGGTGAGGTCATTGAACATCCACAATGCTCACCTGATCCTGACCCTTGATTATGATCTGATTTCAAGTTGAAAGAACAAATCCATGGCAGTCAGTTTTATGCACTCAACCACCTTGGCATAGCAGCAAATAGAATGGCAACAGACATAAACCAATTTGTAAGTACTGATGTTATAATGCAGTTTCTGGAATTGTAACTTAATATGTACCTAATATGTAACAACCACATGCTATGTTTACTAACAAACTTAGAACTTGTCTGGATATTCACCATATAACAGACATGATGCCTATTACACTCGATATTGTAATATGGAAGAACAAAACTCCCATACACTGATAATACATGAATACCTCTGTGGTGGTATATGGGAAGGCCAAAGAGATTGCATGACAAATATGAGGATGGATCATTAAGGTGAAAGCACTGATACTTTTTTGGACATGTTTATTGAAACATAATAACACAGGATTAAACTAAATAGATGTTACTTTTCCACATAAAAACCAAACACATTAGGACATTTTCCTCAGTGGTATGGAAGCTTATCAATTCCCATTGCAAAGAAATCAGGGTCCTGTCTAATGAGCCAAGTGGTGACAGCATTTTGAAGTTCAGCATCCATACTGAAGCATCAACCTCAAAGTTCATGTTTCATTGGCCCAAAAAGAAGGTAATTGCCTGTTGTGAGATCTGGACTATATGAGGGATGGGGGAAGAACCTCCCATCCATATCTCACAACTGTTCTGACTGTGAATTGGGTAGTGTGAGGATAACCACCACCACAGGCAACAATCCTGTTTATGGCATATTGCTTCTCTTAGCATCTGTCTGGTGATGAATGTATGAAGGTTGGGAATTTTTGCTCACAGGAAATGAATAGTGCTGCAAACTTCTTCATGCATGCATGAAGTACAATGGCCATCTTGTACTTGCTGTCTGTCATGTGAATGCTACAACAGCAAGATGGCTGGCAGAATATTTGTGTACTACAGCACTACACGAAATCCAAATATTGTGCAATAATTCTTAAATCAAGGTTCATATGGCCTTTTCCACCTTCCTCTCTGATCCAACCTCATATATGTGATCATGTCAACCCTGTCATATATGGTATTTTTATGTGGGATCTTGTGACTGTCCTAAAAGAGCAATGATTAATCAACTTTTGGACTAATGATATCATGGCTTATGCAGTGCTATTGTGGGCAAAGTAAATCAACAGTATGTTCCTAGAAACAAGATCAAGCACTGCCAGATTTTCAATCAAATTTAAATCTTCTCTGCGAAAGCAGAAATAATCTCAAGACAAAATCTGAAAAAACCTTAAGTGTTTCTAAATACATTGTCCTCTTAAATGAATTTCAAGTCTTTCATGAATGGGATTCACATGTCATATTGAAATAGAACCTGAATTAGGAATTCATCACAAGCATTAAATGAATCAGAATCAACTCAAAGATATCAGTGCATTGACTTTGCATCCCTCTTGGACTATTTTTAAGCATGCAAAAAATTACAATTCCTAAGGAAAACGCGGCTCTGCAACCCAGTGTCATTGGGTCCATCGCTTTGACTCGGCGTTTGGCCCATCCTAGTACCGGGGTTGGAGTGGCGAGAAAGAGAGAGCACATGGTGGAAATCGATTCGGTATGCCACGTGAGGTTGAGGAGCAAAAGCCTCCTTCTGACAGATTTCTGCATAAAAGCGTCTCATACAAAGGACGGTTCAACGTACTGAACCGCGAGAGACGCAGAGAGAGGCAAGGGAAGGAAGGATGGCAGCCATTCCACACACATTCACTCACCATTTATCCAGCTTGAGAAGTTCCTCAGGCTTTTTCTTCTGCTCTGCCTTCAGCCTGAGTGCGTCGTCGTAAATGGACAAAACGTATTCAAACTGAGCAGGAGTGCCCTTCTCGAAAAAAGTCTTGGTATCCTTCATCGATGCCATCGTGGATCACTCACTCGGTCTCGAGCCAGGCAGGGAGGCAGGGCTCAGCACAGCGAGAGAGCCAGCACCAGCAGCGCGCCAAGGCAAAGGCTTTCGCATCAATAACGAAAGTAGGACCCCGGGAGTGCGCATGCTCGGCTTCCCACCAGCTGCCTCTCGTAGGCTGGCGAGCGCGAGCGAGGCTTTTCTCCTCCGCTCCCCCCCACCAGTCGTATTCTAGCCTCCGTCTCGGAAAGTTCCGCTCTGATGCTCCCACGTGACCTGCAGACCAAAACCCGGGAACAGCCCGCCCCGAGTGAACTCAACACCCATCGACTTTCTTTGCAGAGACAAGATCCCGTAACCTCAGAATACAACTCAAGGCGCCTTTTCTGTCGGGTTCGCCAGGCTCTTGGTCCTGCGCTGGAGAATGATCATAACAACAATAGGGAGGGCCAAGGTGAGATAGCCTAGCCGATGCCCAGGCTAACTTTGACAGACTTGAGCTCATCCTTAAATAAATAAATAAACAGAAAATGAGGTTCCTGTAAAATCATGATGCACTCAGGCTACGCCCTGTTGTGGAGAGGCTCTGCCCAATGGCTGGAAGAGCTGCAGTTATCCATCCATTATTTTGGGGAATGATAGGTTTGTACAGTATCCTCATCCAGAACATCACTGGGATTTTCTTCTGCAGACCAAGCAAACATTTCATTGCTTGCAGGCTTCTCTAGCCTAAACTCTTGTCCAATCAAGCTGCTTAAGCCCATAAAGAGGAACAAAAATATCCAAACCTGCCAAGGTGATGAATTCTATTAAAAGGGATGAGCTTTTTTCCTAAAAGAATGCTCAACAAATTAATGGTAAACTTATCAACACTGGAAGTGGCTATGACATGCAAAGATGAAGCTGACCAGATTAGTTTAACATTGATGGACCAATTACATTTGGATCAAGAGTTGAATTTCATCCATTGCCTAAACCACTGTTGCATTTGTACTAGAAGTAGCTGTATTACAATCACAAATGATTGTAGTTGAGATGTATACTATGCAAGAACTGAACTATATGGACCAGTGTCCACAAAAGTCCTGTGTCCATTTTTACATTTGCAGCTATGCCCTGCAAATATTGGTGACTATGCACAAACTTGAGTCTACTTGTTTCCAATGATTTTGAGCACCCCATCTGTCTATACACTGCCAGCTTAATCTTAAGAAAAACCTATGAATTCAAATTTCATTTTGCAATAAAGGTGTGTCAGTGACATGGTAATGTGTGTCCTACCATGAGGTGTGCCCTACCCACGTTCTACCTCCTAAATGAACTCTGGGTGTCTTGGCACATTGGTTGAAGAGCGCTGAGTCAGGTCAAGTGTAATTTGTGGTGGTATACTTTGTCTTGTAACAAGACTGTCTTAAGAATTACCATCAAGAAAAATCCCATATCTAACCTCAGGTCTTCCTTTTCTTCTTGTTGGCTTGTCTCCCTCCCCATAGTCACATTTTGTGTATGATCTTGGTTTGAAAAATGGATACTAATAATTTGTTGAAAAATTACAAATTTTCAATTCCTAGAAACTTGTGACTGTAAATTAACAAACGTTGGTGTACATAATGCTGAGTATGGTAGTAACTAATGGATTATTTTTCTTTAAAATTTTATCTTGTAATTTTCTTAAGTGTAGCTGACCCCCTGAACATGGCCAGAGGACTTAACCCCAAGAAGTTTGATTTGTAAAGGCATCATATTCAATGAACATCCATGCCAAATTTCTAGAAAATCCAGCAGATGCCTCCTGCAATTTATTTTACCAACTGGACCCTTAAGAGGGTTTTTTTGGGTTTTAGATATAGAGAACAGGTTTAGAGCTTTGCTGTGCACAGCCTAAGTCAACAGTTAAAAAAAATTGCGCATGGATTCTCGGGGGCATGAGAAAATGGGAAGGGAGAGATTAAAACTAGAGAGTTTAATAGTTATTTAATGTAGCAAATGATGTGGGCATCTTCCCCTCCTGGCTTGTTAGAGGGATAGAATGTATAGATGTTTTCTGTTCCTAAACAGAGGTACAGAACGAAGAGTTTGATAACTATGCACCCAAGTTATGGAGCATTAAATGATAGAGAATAGATTGAGCATCTTGCTTTTTGAAAATCTATTATCTTGGCATATTGCATTTTAATGACAGATTGCTCCACTTGGAATGAAGATGAAGATGTCGATTCTTCCAAGAACTTCTGGATGGATCATCCCATCCCAGAGGACTGCAGTATTACAGTTGGAAGCTTCCTGGATCCATGCAAGATTGAACATGGCAGCAAGAGGTTGTCTAGGAAAAAATCTCCTGGGTTTGGAAAGAGTGAAAGAACCCAGCTATGGGAAGCATTGGACAACCTTGGGAAGGGCTTTGAATCCATGAATTTGACTGGAACAAGTCTGCAGCATGTGGCTCCAGTCTGCTCAGATGTGGGTCAGTCATTCATCATGGAGCATTCGTTTATGTGAGCCTATAAGGAAATAACTCTATGAAAGTTTCTGGGTTATAGTCTGAATGGTGACTGGTGACTTAAATTTAGAATATCTATCCAGCAGAAAGAATGATGAAAGGAGCTGAGCAAACACATCTGGATGGCCTCTCCATGAGCAGAAGACTGAGGGAAATAGAAGTGACAAAGTTGAGGCATCAGTTGGGTATCTTGAAGTTGGGATTAGAAGATATAGCTCAAGATTCCCTACTGGGCCTGGGCCTTCAGGTTAGCTGCATTCATAGTATCATTCAATTTTCTTCATCAAAGAGTGTTTGAACTATTTTCAATTGCAGTAGTGGAGATGCCAGTCTCATAAGACACTTCGTGGTTCAGTTGGAATAAAAACAATTACAAATTCGTTTCATGATGGCATGTAAGGGAAGATGATAGTATACGAGGGGCATTTCATAAATTCTGCACAGAATTTTTTTCTCTTTTATTGCCAATTAATCCAACAGACTATATCTATAGGCCTTCTACATATTCTCCTTCCTTAGCAATGCAGGACTCCCAACGGTGTGGAAGGCTGTGAATGCCAGATAAGGCGCCATCTTTGTTAAGTTGACGAATGCGTCGGGTAACGGCACGAGAAAGTTCTTTCAAATCTGCAAAACGCACACCACGCATCTCTTCTTTGAGTTTTGGGAACAGGTCATAGTCTGGAGGACTCATATCAGGACTGTAAGGGGGGTGAGGAAGAATTTCCCAACAGTACTTGGCCAATAAATCAGTCACTACCTTACAAACGTGTGGCCTGGCATTGTCATGGAGGATGAGAACCCCTTGTTGGTGGAGTTCCGGGCGATTCTGGTGCATTTTTCTTCGAAGTTTCTGCAGGAATTGGCTGTAATATGCTCCTGTAACACTAGATTTCACAGGTACACGATCAGTAACAATCACACCGCGACAATCGTAAGCAAAGATCATCATCTGCTTAACTTTTGATTGTGAGCGTCGACATTTCTTGGGCCTCGGTGAATTTGGGCTTTTCTATTGGTTTGATTGGGACTTCAATTCTGGTTCAAAATCACGGATCCAAGTTTCATCAATAGCCACTATTCTGTCCAAAAACGCTTCCCCTTCTGCTCTGTAACGTTGCAGGAGTTGCTGAGCAATGTCACGGCGTGCTGCTTTTTGATCATGTGTGAGCTGATGTGGGACCCACTTGGCTGCCACTTTTCTTTTGTGAAGATGCTGGGTGAGAATGCGAAACACTGACGTGGCTGATATCCCAGTACCTTGAGAAATTTCCTCACAGGTCATTCGGCGATCCTCTTCAATCACATTGGCCACACGTTGCACTGATTCGTCCGTTATTGCACAAACTGGTCTGCCAGACCTTGGATCGTCGTTTATGCTCTCCCGCCCACAACGAAAACGTGTGGCCCAACGAGACATTGTGCTCCGGTCTACTGCATCACTTCCACACACCTCCACAAGAATAGCGTGAATTTCTGTGAGAGTTTTATTGCGCAAAGTTTCAATTTTAATGTAAGATCGCTGATCGTTTCGTGTCACCGTACCCGAAAACTCTGCACTGGCCATTTTGAAAATTTACTGTTTCTAAACAGCAGCACTTAGAGCAACAAGATTCGGCATGAAAGCACTCATAGGCTCAAACTATAACTGGGACAAAAATGGCGGTCATAACATCATCCAGTATTCAGTGTTGCCAACCTGTGCAGAATTTATGAAATGCCCCTCGTAACTTAATACACTGTGTTTTTTTATCTCCACAACCCATGAAAAATGGCATAACTTCCTATATGTAAAAGCTAGCAAGTTGAAATTTGGAATGAACTGAGACCGACCATGCATGACTCACCTTCACTGCAGCAGATGCTGGAATTGATTCCCTTTTTCTCCATGCACAATTGAGCATGGTGCTGCAAATTTCCAAAAGTATGGGATAGTACATCAAGAGGAATGTTCAAATGCTGTTTTTAATTTTCTCCTTTAGCTGTGGAATGGTGTTGTTTCGGTAAATAGTATCCTTCAAGTAGCCCTCAAAAGAAAGTAATCAGATGATTGGAAATCAGGAGATCTTGGTGACCATAGGTTTTAAAAGAATGGCTGAAAGTGCTCCATGCTCCTCTCTGAGGTAGGGCATTTGGCCTTCTGGAAGTAACCCTGGGTGAGTTCACTTTCCTTGGACTTGCTATCAAAGATGGAAAAATAAAATCATAAAAAATGGGGTTGTTGAAGGATACTGTTTACCACAAAAAATTTCACCATTCTGCAGCTAAAGGAGAACATTAAAAGGAGCATTCATTGCATTCTTGCAGACATACTATGCTGTACTTTTGAAGACTTGCAACATTGTGTTCAATTGTGCATAGAGGTCAGTGGGGATCAATTCCTGCATCTGCTGTAATAAAGGTGAGTCGAGCATGATTGGAGCTTGGTTCATGCCAAATGCCAACTGGCTAGTTTTTTATGTAAGAAGTTATACAATTTTTCTTTGGTTGTGCTAATAAAAAAACACTCTGTACTTTGTTATTAGAGCTGCTGAAATTATTCATCTCTGCTGTTTTTTCAGTTAAGCATTATGTGAATCAGTTTTTATTTATTTATTTTTCAAGTATCACTATAGCTCTGGTACTGCAGGGCTAAAATACTCTCATTTATATCTATATTGATAATAGTAATTATCCTTGTAGGTAGAGGAAGCTGTGAAAAGAAGCAAGATGAGGCTAGACCTCTTATGCAAGCAAGTTGAAAGCTGGAAAATGTATCAGATGAAGAAGGGTCACAGGGATGCTCTTCTCAGGACAAGGGGCATTTTACGGGATGCCAAAATTGCCAGACTTCGATCACTACGGTACCAGTAGGTTTAAGTCATTCTATCTCAAGTCAAAGTGCGTAGAATAGGTGCTTGATGCATCATAGATGTTTGTGAAAAGAAATTACATGAGAAAGAACCGCTGGGTTAAAGGCATGATATGAAAATTTTTGAGATGCCTTAGTCAAACAGCTGCTGTGGTAGTTATAAATTTGATAGTCATAGTTTTGATGGCACCGAGAAGATAGAGTTTACTTTGCATGACTTGTCAGCCACTGCCTCAAGTGGAAGTTGAGAAATAAACATGAAAATCGCATTTTTTAAGCACCACCTGGTAGATATATCCTTTACTTTGACCCTGTGCAGAAATTTCATATGAGGATTTTAAAGAAGTTGTTGTGTTTCCAAGTTCAAATTATTTGAAAAACATTCAACACCTGTGAGTAAGACATAAAAGTCATGAACTGTTTGTTACGTGTGAAAGCTAATTCTTGTAGGAATCTAAGTACTCAGAGTACTTGCTGCTCTCCTTCTGAGATTTAGTTTTAATACTTAGCCTGAATATTGGCATGGCTCAGCCATTATCAATGCCGTTGCTCTTCAAAGGTGGAATGTTTCAAGTGATGACTTAACTGCTGTCCAAGTACAGAGTGGGCCATTTACAGTAAGTCCTTGATTTACGACATTATATCGGAACGATGCAATGTATAGGGAAACTTGTTCCCTAATGTGTTAGCGACGTGAATATACCAACTTCCAACTCTGGATCTAGTTGAATTTGCAGTATATTAGTATATTAAGACCTTTGCATATAGCCAAAATCAGAAGCTTTTGAGGAAGTTGTTTTCATCTGAACCTGTACAGGGGCAGCCCTATAGAGGTGGTGGCATGTTTCTTAAAAATGTGGTGGCCTAGAGAAGCTTCTTTCCACTAACATCATAAAGACATTCAAATGCCTCCTTTGAACTGGAAGGAAGTAACAACCCCTGCTGTTCCACTCTGGGTTGGACACAATGTGTCCCTGGACACTCATATAGTCTTATATGGTAATAGTACAGTTAGACTCTCTTGTTGAAAGGAAGAAGTAGAGTACATAAGGTGGAGCTGGTTCAAGTCACCCTTTGTAATTTTATAGTAAATTATCTTTCAATTTCCACCCCAGAGTTTCTATGGAAAAGACTAATGGCCTGCTTTCCACTGTGGTTTCCTCCTTCACTATGCATATGTCTTCCTGTAATTATTTTGCTCATTTAGTCTTTACTCAACCCTACCATACAGGGGTTGAAGGGTGAGCTTCAGCAGATTTCACCAGGAAACCATACATAGCCTTGAATTTTTTTCCTGAAAGAGGCAAGGCCAAGCCTTGGCTTCACAAAAAGTGCTGGGACTCTGCTCCTTCCCACTTTGAAGTGGGAAATGCTATTGAAGCACAGATGTTACTTCAATAATTGTGAAATTCTGATATCCATATGATTTAATGTTTCCTACTAACTTGTGTCTCTCACTGGGACTTTATTTTAGCAGGTTTTTCTTTAAATAAGACAGAGGCCAGTAAGATGGAAGGTTCCTTGTGCAGATGTATGCAAGGATGAAGTATTCAGGCTGGATTTGATAAATGATATGAAAACAACGACCTTGGGCTTGCCTGCATGCTAAATGGGTTAAAATGCTCAAATCTTGTGTGGGTAGTCTTGTGGTCATGAGCTACTTGTGTTGGATTTTCCAGGAATGATCATGGTGCCTTTGAGGGACAAGTGAAAAAGAGTGCTAAATGTGATGATCAGGTGAGCTCATTTCCAGTTCAGAAATGACATGTGACATGAAGTACTGAGAGTCTCTCTTATGCAGTCACTTGTGTAGCCCTCTATAGAGTTTGCCATTTTTATTATTTTTATTGCAGGTGGTGCTGAGGGAATTCAGAGAAAGAGGGAATAGAGAAAGAGAGATACAAAGAGACAAAATTAGAGACAAGAAACTGCTTCAGTGTGAGGGTACCAAGACTGTGGCTCAACAGCTGCATGAATTCAACTACATGTATCCTTTACTCATTGAATATCTGGGAATACCCTAGTTTTGATAGTCTTTTCAGTCTGTGTGGCCTCTTGAACATCTGTTAGGATAATGCCAATTGCAGTTATTTATTGATAAGACATTGTTCCTTTTGACAATATTCCTGTTCATCATATTCTTTTCTAGCTTCCAACTGCTGCTTCTTGATTACTCTGGTATGCCTTTATTGCTGATGGAAAAAGTGAAGCAACCCTCAGAAGCTTTCATCACCTTATGCATGTGCTACAAATTATAAGGCCTTAGACAACAAAGGCAATAGGAGAGAATTGTTGGATGACAATGTAAATGACAAGGTTTTGCCCCAGATTCAAAGCCATAAGGCATATGAACCACAAGATATGACAGGAAGCACAGTAGGGTATTCTTTGTTCTGCTGCTAATATTAGCCTTGTACACAGTGATTATAAAGAAAGTTCCCTTGTTCAAAGAATCAGATCTCATTAACAGTTTGATACATGATCGTGAAAATTAATACGAATGCTACAGGAGCCATGGGAAAGACAATGCGGTACATGTTGTGTGTTGCCCACAAAAGTCAACAAATGGCCCACTTATGATAATCAGTTGTGTTCAGTGTGTGCTAGTCCATCATCATCATCATGCAGGTTCTCCCTTGGAAAGTGGTGATCAATTAGACCTAATCTCAAGGTGACTGATTAAAGAATCCTTGCCTTTCCTTTTCCTGCACATGTTATCTGTAGGAATGTTTAATTCCTATATCTACCCTTAGGGTTCTTTAGCAAGGGATGATATGTCTCCATTAAACATGGTGGGTAGTATACACTTACCTCAGAGCTTGGAAACACCAAATGAAGTCTGCCTTTGCTCAACCCTGTTGGGACTTTCCACTTCCTCTTATATATTATTATACTGACACTGAAGCTTAACTGGTGAAAATATATCCAGCTATATGAGCATTCAAGTTCAATAGATCAACCCTTTCACTGTGGCTGTCGAGTGTACTTGAAGACAGCTGTCTGAGCAAGCAGCGCAGCTGCAGCTCAGTGCATCCATTGAGTATACACAATCAAGTTAATATTCAACTAGATGGTGCCAGCTAGTCAAGCTCCTGCTGGTAGCTGCTTTCTCACTAGATTTTGTCATTGTGTATTGAAAATGATATTTTGAAGTGGGTGGTTGACAGCTGATTTCAATCAGGTTGTGAGCCATGGCATCAACAGGTAGCAAGCATGTTTTGAGTGAATTGGAAATCAGATGCTAGATACTGATTCCAGAGATGATAGTGATGTGAGGAAAGTACCAATGACTCTGCTGAGCACATTTGTAACTTGGACTCTGAAGGGGAAACAGTAAAGTGATATCAGCCTTAGTTTATGTGGTCAGCTAATGTGTACTCACTTGAATGCAGAAGAATGCAAGTGGAGTTTGACATGGTCTTGATGAGCAGGAGGGAGGGTGCTTGAGTGTTTCCTCCCCTCCACTTCCAGCGAGAACTCTTGTCCATTCTATGTCTAACTTCTTTTCAATAATTGCTGATAATATTGCTTTGCCTCAAAAAATTCAGAAGAAATTTGATGTATCAGTTGGAAACATACTCATACAAGCATAGTTATAGTTTCACAAAAATAGCTCTATTGTGAGGGGAGATCTTTTTTTTGCCATACCCTATTTATGCACATTCTTCATATCCTGGGTTCCAATGATGGTGATCTCTTGCTGGTGCCCTGTGCAATCCATCAAGGTACATCAGTACCATGTACTGCTTGGTATGAGGAAGGGGTTTATCTCTGAAGCTTCTTTGACCCTTCTGAACTTTCCTAGTATTATACAGGGTGGTCAATAAGTCCTGCCTTATAGGGATTTATTTTCTGGGTCTGTAACATTGACCAGTTGAAAGACAACATTTTCACAGCTTGCATAATATCACTGGAGAGATCCTCATACATGTGCATGACAGCTTTCATCACCATGTCCACATTTGTCAAACCCTAACAGAACACCTAGTTTGAACATTAGATGATGTCATCAGGACTTTTGGACCACCCTGTATATGCACCACATATTCATTCAAATTACTATCTACACATACATAACAAATAAGTCATGGAGACTTTAGAATATACAGGGTGGTCAAAATATATACCAATTTCAAAATGAGATTACAGGATAATTATACAAGATAGGATTGAATAATAATATGCATTAAGTAGAGAAAAGTCAAAATTTGTAGACTAATAACCCTTTTTTCTTTTGCCTGTTCATGATGCCTCAATTAAATTTATAACAAAGAATCTTTATTGTTGAGGAGCATATCAAAATGTAACTAGTATTAGTGACAGCATGTATCCAGAAAGGAGTTTGAAGGCTGTGAGGTGCCAACAGCTAAGACAATTTGACAAATTCTGACCCTCTTTCCTTCCATTTGGCTAGAGTGCTTGAATAGTTGCTTAATGCATTTTATTATTCAACTTATCTTGTTTGGTTATCCTGTTGTTTCATTTTGAAATCAGGTATATATTTTTTGGCTCACCCTGCTACTTTTGCTGCAGACTACTTTGCTGAACATAGCTTTGTTGTGATGATACACTATACAGCTATTTTTCAAACCAAACTCAAGCTTTTCATACATCACTAAAATTGATACAAAACCTTGTTAATTATTGAAATCTGGTTGGAACTCAAGAAAAAGAAATGTCCCCAGAGAAATTTTGAAAGACTTTCCTGAGACAGCATCTTAACAAACTGGTGGGGCTCAAAGAAAAAAAGGCTGCATGTAACACTAAGCCACATTCCACCTGCTTGGAATGTGCAAAGAAAATGTTCTGTGGCAAGAGGTAGGAGAATAAAAGGAAGTTCAACTTTGTTGCTCCTGAATTTCTTTTCATCCAAAGTCACCACCTTGTTCACAATGAAACTGATATATATTTTTTTTTTTTACTTCACTTCATGTGCCTTCCATGTTTGAAGAGTTTATGAAAGGGGCATACTGTAACTAGTTTAAGATGACTGACAAAAAATGTACTAATATAGTTAAGTTATATTATTAAATTAATATAATTTCTCCTTAACAGAAATTCAGGTTAGAAAAGGAATTACTTACACTGTGGGAGAGAATGATCCTGGTGGAACAGAGAAGACAAGAAAAACCTGAAAGGAGGGAGCAACAAAAGAGAATGACTTGGACCTTGGCCTGATATCATGACTGCCTTGAAGTTGGTTCAGCACGACATCTGTTATCCTATGATGTGTGAATTGTGATATGACTTTTTATCATTAAGTGTTGTATGCAGTAAACTGAAGAATGGAGGTTTCATAAGCAAATATTTTATTTGCCCTATAGAACACTTTTCCAAATGCAGGATGAAGTTAGCTTGTTTATCATATATGTTTCATGCTCAATGTTTTGCTCTCAAACTCCTATTATGAGCAAACAAAATGAATTGTTTCCTAGAGTTATTTAAGGATTACAGCTGGCAGGAACAACTTCACAAAATGAAACACACAGTGCTGTCTTGATGCAGGCTAGCTGCTGGGCAGAGATTCCAACCTTGTGATGAACCAGTGAAGGGAGATAGTGGAGAAGCTAGCAAATTCTGGGAGTATATTTTTAAAAATTGTAAATGTACTCAAAAGATTTGTATAAGGTAGCTCAAAAAGAAATCCCCCTGATCAGCAGTAGCTCAGTATTGAGAATAGTTAGGGCAAATGAATCCCCAAAGAAGCAATAGAAAGACAGAGGCTAGAAGGTTCAAATTAAGAAAAAAAAGTAGTAAATTGGTTGTAGTATTGTAAAGGAGATTGAAAGTGGAACAAGAAAGAACCTTTGCTACTTTACAAAGAATTATGTTCACCAGGACAATGCACCTCACTGCATACATTTTCTGCAACTGTTCCTTCAATGGTTTTTATTCGTAGTTTTTTCTTCTGTTCTCTCTCTTCCTGAAAATATCCACCACTTGGTATACATATATTAGGAGATCCATTCCATGGTATTGTCAGGACTATTTTTTTAAGTATGAGTCCACTGCTTAATAAGCACATAATCATCTGGAATAAAGGCAAACCCAACTAATAATCTGCAATATATGAAACAAGAACAGTCCAAAATCAGCATGTTTGAAAGCCAACATGCAATTGTTTAATGAATAGACTGAAATGGAAAAGTCCATATCTCCTTTAAATCATGACTGACAGCAAAAAATGGTAAACATTTCAAGCATATTCCAACATTTACCAGTATTCAGTTTGATCCAAAAAAGCAATGTTTGTGGTAACCATAGCACATGTAGATGATACAGAATAGATAAACTATAAATGAAATTGTCACCAGCAGAGTTGGGGCAGATTGCTAATGTGGGGGGTGGGTTTTTGAGCTACCATGCACAATCAATAAGTTGCAGTTGATGTGTCAGCACGGACATGCCATTTTGCCTACAGTTCATGCACTGTCCGACATGATTATCCCACTTTCTTGGCAGAACTCCCAGTCAGTGCTTTATGTATGCTTTATTCATGTCTAAGATTACATCTTCAATGTCCTGATTAATATCTTTCACCAACTGGAATCATTGTCCTTGAGAATTTTCCATCATGTTCTGGAAAAGGGAAAAAAGAGAGATTGCATGACAGGGGCAGATTATCTGAAGCCCTCAGAGGATGTTGCATCTTGGTATGCAGTCTGCATAAATGCTATTACATTGTGATGAACCTTTTGTGAGGGTCCCTCACCCTTATTACTTGCCTAATATCTCTTTTGACCTTTCATCTCTGGACCTGAAGAAGCATCAAGGATGAAGATGCCAGGAGACAAAAGAGATCAATACTTGTCAAGCAATTGCTTGTGCAATTTGCAATATGGACAAATGATTGGGGAAGCAGAGATCATCTAAAGTGGCAGGAGAAATGCACAGAAACAATTAGTACATGACATGTCCATTTGATGGGATCATCAATACATGCAATTCATTTATAGTAATAAAAAATTAGTGCATTTAAGTAAACAAATTTTTGTACCCACAAGTCGATTCTAATTTTACCAGCTGAATGGTGAAATTGAAGAGTGAATTCTGAGCAGCACTCACCAACAATGCCCACTGAATAAGACATGTATCTTGGGGCATCCAATAGATATGTAGAAATTCTATAGTCAATTCTCAATGATGCATGCCTAAGAGAAAGCCATGTCAGAAGGTAGACATGACAGCTATAGGGAGTACAACAAAAACTTTTCTAAAACTCTTGTTAGGCTCAAGGAATCATGAAAAATTAGTAGGGATGGAGAGCCAGACAGGGATGACTTTCATTGAACATGGGCAAATGGGCAAGACCCAATCAACAAGCTCACTTTGACATACAACATAGTCCAGACAATCAAGAAAGCTCAGATGCAAGGCATACTTGGTCATTCATTCAGATGATTCAAGAACACTATCTAAATATCCTATCAGAAAGGCACCAGTGCAATTGCATCTTCACTGCCACTTTCTAATAGACTGCATTCTTTATGATTCCTATTCATTTGCAGCAATTAGCAAAACTGCAAAAGAAAATCTAGATCCAAAATGATATTTTGATTTAATTCAAATGGTATATTAAGGTCAATACATCCTCTATTCAGAGCTATATATGCACAAAAGATTGGCAGTGCTACCAGGTATCTGATGCTGATTAGTGATCACATAATCAACTAAGCCTACTATATCATACTTGTAGGCTTTTTGCTTGCAGCATGAGCTGATGCACAGACAAGGTAGCACACAGCAAATATTGAAGGACTTCACAACTTTTGCTTAGTGTGTAATTTGAAATCATTATGAAGGTCCATGAATAGCAGACATGATGGAGAGTTGAGATTGAAGTGATTAGAACTTTATCAACTCACCAATACACACAAGTGGTGCAACATTCCAATGAACAGCCAGCTGATAATACTGGTAAGGCAATGATGAAAATTTTATGGAATTCCATGCGAGAAAGTGAAAATACAGCTTTGTAAAGAGTATGAGCCAAAACCATGGTCCTAATACTTTCAGATAGCTGATAGAATGCTCAAGAATGCATTTAAGTAGTTCTGAATCCTTTTCATGGGCCTTCACTGTTTTCACATTTAAGTAGGGCAAGTCCCATGAAAGAAAAAGAGGAAAATAAGAATTCCTTAGGAGTCATAAGATGAGCAAATGATGGCAAAAGCCTGCCTTGTTGGAGCCAATAGACATCAGAAAGGCACTTGAGAATACTTGAGGGTAGAAATAGAGGGAAATTCATCACACTTGGGGACCTCAAGTCTTAGCAAGCACAAATTAAGAACTGCAGAGGGCTGCACTGAAGCCTGCAGACTGAGACATTTTTGATGTGTCAGTGCAAAATCCAAGATGGTGCTGTCATCACATATCCTCCGAGTTCAAGGGAGGCGGAACAAAGGAGAGCACCTCTTGATATACATAATCTGAAACACACACAAGTTTGTCTGCAACATCTTGGTATTTTAGTTTATTGTCCTCACTGTCCTCATAAAAATTCCAAGAGGCTTCATTGCTTTTTGAAAAAGTCTTCAATAGTCTATAGTTTTCTATACTCAAGAGTTTCCATCCACAGATGTGCTCAGCTATCAATTAGCCAAAGATTACTTTTACAGTGTATATATCTGACATGCTCAATGGGAGACATGAGAAGCTGAAATAAAATTATTCAGTGGATTTTCAGACTGAAGGAAAGTCAGGCTACCTTTCCATTGTTGTACAGGGAGATCCATATCTTCATAACTCTGGTCATAGGGCTCAGATGTTGGTTCATCTGAAGGATCTGCATACTGAGAAAGGTATGGGTGGGCAAGAGCCTGTTCAGCTGTGATTCGCTTCTCTGCATCCAATTCCAGCATCAGCTCGAGCAAATTTATTGCTGCAAAAGATCCCAAATGCCAAAGCATACTCTTGACTGTGGAGCCTACAAACACATCACAGTGTGAAATGCTGTATCTTCTGGTTACTAGAAGGGGATTTGGTATTCATGGCCACAGGGCCTCTTGCCCCTGGTGTCACATAATGTACGTATGTGCATTTCTAGCTCTTCACTATAAACTCTCCCCTTGCTTCTCAAACAAACCACAAGGGACAATTATTCAAGTTGGTTTTCATTGATTACACTATATTAAACTGTAAAATACTCAAAGGCCAAAGTACATTAAGTCTTTCTCAGTTTGACATGTAATGTTTATCATCTATTCATCTACATATGTATATGAATTAGGTGGTGAAACTCTTGTGACCCAGATTCCAGCTCTCTTTGAATGTACTTCTGACCAAACCACTCCTGTCATATAATGAGGCAAATTTATTGTCATTTTTGTAACGGGTCACTTTTAGACCAAATAACAACCGTAAGCTGTTTTAGCATAGTATTGAACTAAAAATGGGGTTACACTCTTAACTAAGTGACCACCCCCCAACTCAGATCACTTAATTTCATTTCACCTCAATTGAACAAGAAATGTGCTCTGTCATTAAAATGTCTTGGGAATGACATAGGTCTACCCTGGGCTTGGTTCTTCCTTCTGTCTCCTATTGCCTTTGACTATATATATAGAAGCAATTTGAATGGGATTGTGCAATGTGCCATGACATCTGTACTATAGCGTGAGCTCTAGTTACGGAATTTCAGTCATTCAAATGGACTACTTGGAGTTCTTTATGCATAAGTCACAGTTATAAGACAACTGAATGATATAGAGACTACTTAGAAAATTATATTCATGGGTTTCTGAAACCATAACTTAGTTTCATAAGTACATCAAGACAAGCTATGGGGGGAAAAGAGCTCTTTAGCTTAAAGGGTCCTTTATCTCCCCTAAATGAGGTTTTGTGTATTTGGGCCTCAATCTTGAGTTGCAATGTCCATACAATTCAATATACTGCTTTTCAAAAAAAATGTCAAAAAACTACTGAAGCAAAATATTAGATATGTGAAGGTTGTTGGAGTGCCATGCCCTTTCAGAGAATCATGCTGGGATATTTGTCCTATCAACTGCATCTCTACTTATGGATTATCTGTAGAGGGGACAGAATAGGGGGATCCCCCAGTAGAAGGGATGTAAACATCAGGCATAATTGCTTTGGATTTATAACAGACATTTTTTCAAAAGTATGTAGAACACTTGTAACAGTGATCCTATTCATTCAGTTTGTCTCTGAAATAAATCACTCACACATTGAGGGGAATACCAATGAACCACATCAAGTGACTGTGACAGTGGAGGAAATCTGAGAATTGTAATTTAGTCATGAACTCAAGATTGTTCATGATGTAAAAGAATATCAAATATGAAGAAAAGGGGCTTCAATTAAAAACCTCACTCCTAATTTAAGGCAATGTAGACTTAATCACTCAAATAAACTTTATTGCCAGCTTGCTAGTTATGCTTTCGGCTACAAGGTGTGATACAGAACAAAGTACATCTCATACTATTAATAATAGCAATAGTAAGGAAATTTCATACTTAAAACACATATTCAGAAGTATCGATTGACATTTACCTGTCCAGGGATTTGGTAAGGCATGCAAACTACAACATTGAGTCTATAAACTTTATAATTAGGTTTTTCAGTATTCAAGGAGGGCATAAGATGCGAAGAGGGTACAGAAAATAGAAAAAAATATACCACAAAAAAAAGGTGTACTCAGAAAGAGGGAAGGAGAATTCCGACCATAGCCAGTTATATCGCGTCTATATTAGCACACAGTGTGCCACTTCCATAGTGCGACTTTCAGGTCGGAGCATGCTGTCTCCGCACTTCATCAAGTTCTTCGCACCAAAATAGTAGATGTTCCCTGGAATCCTGGTGTGTGCATAGGGGACATATGTGTTCGCCCCATGAATCACTAACGGAAGGGAACTTCCAGGCTTGTGTGACAAATCTGAGTAAGGGACCTGCTTTTCTGTCAAGGCCAATGATACTTGAACGTTCCAATCCAAGCTCTAGTGCCACTTCTAGCTGGTCAAAAGAAGGTGTTGTTTCTAGTTGAGTCCACCATTCATTCTCTACTTGTATCTGACATGAACAAAACATTACTCTTATAAAGGACTTGGTGGGGGGGTCCAAAGTGCCAAACATAAGAATATCCAAATTCCTGGCAGAAAGCTCTGATTGACCTCAACCAGCAATCTTTACCTTTTAGCATAATTTTGTACTGTTCGCTCAGGGCGGATTCAATCAGAGACCCTTTGGGTGCCTGTCTGAGTTTCAACCATAATCCTAGCCGACGTTTCCCTGTCAACACTCTGATAGCAGGCGGTGTATAGAGTGACAGGATTAGAGTATTAGAAATTGAGAGAGGCAGTCCTAGGAGTCCTTTCAGGAAATAAGCAGATAAAGCATCAAGGTACCTCATATCATGAATCCATACTAATTCTGCACCATACAGAAGGGTAGTTGCAACTATCATACTCCATATCTGTGTAGCCTTTTGGATAGAGAAGGAAGGAATTTTCCGAAACAGTCCTATTAGAGCTGCGTTTGCAGCTTTGGCCTTACTCCAACGGGAGTGCATATGATCTGTCCATTGACCTCTAGTAGAGAACACCACCCCTAGGTATGTGAAATGTTTGACTACTTCTAGTTGTTGGTGTAAATATAAAAACTTTTGGGCCTTGCATCGTGTGTCCCTCGAAAACTGCATAATTTTGGTCTTCTGTACATTAACTTTCAGCTTATTCTTTTTTGAGTAAGATGCTAAACGGTTTAGCATCCTTTGGAGCCCCACTGGGCAATGTAGACTCTCCTTTGGCAATCAAAGACATATGAAAAGCTTAATTATGAGAAGCAATTGATTCTTATATGACAAGATATATGCTCACCTTGAGGATTAGCACCTTTGAAAACTTGCTTGAAGTCCTTCTTCTTCATGGCAGGCAAGCTCTTGATGTAATTCCTTGCCTATGAAGCAGGTGATTAAAATATTTTTTCTTCAATACTCAAAGAAGACATATAAAGAAAACCTACCATAGACAAATTAATTAAAATTCCTAAAGGCTGTTTTGAAGAAAGTCCTATACCTGATTATTTTCATTTCTCCTTTTGTTTCTGGTTCAATTTCTTCAGACTTCTTGTTGTTAATGATAGGGATAGGAGGTATTCTAATTATAAGTAAATGAGATCATGCTCTAAGGAGAATAACCAAGACTATGACTAGGTCATAGTGACTGACATCAGTACCATTTAATGAATTTCAAGTTGGAGATTTAAAATATTCATGGTCTCTGCCCAATGAGATCAAGAGTTATGAGCCAAAAACTGTCTCATCATGATAATAAGACCAAAAAGGGAGTTCTAAAAAAAGGCAGGAGACAAGTGGCAACTGATGGTGACTGATTTCAATGTCTAATTCTAATTTAAGGTAATAATTGGTCAATTTTTTGTGGAGCTTCCAAAAGACCAATCTTTGCATCTAAAATCACATACTGATTAGGTTTATCATGATTATTGAACTACATGCCCCTAGTTAAGTATAACAAAGCCTTAATTGCTGAAATTGAGCAACATTATGAAGAGTTCTACTTCTACACTAAGTTCTAACTTTAAAATAGCACAAAACAAAGTGTTTTTTAACTAATCTCTATGATTGGAGCGATGCCACCTAATTTGACTTTTCTTTTCTTGCAGCAACTTTTTCCAGCCACATGTTTACACAGTTCATTACTCTTCAGCTTTGCACTGATTGAGTTGAGGTCATTCACATTTTTCACTCTCATATCAAGATTCATCTTATAATATATGTGGCATTGGTCATAGTGTGGTATATTCTCTGAGTATTCTCTTATGACAGTAAAGGTAAATACCTTAACAACCAAATCAATAACAGAGATACTGAATACACATTTCAACAGGAAATAGTTGCAATATGGCAGTTGCAGGGTGTATCCTGACAATAATTCGTACTTGTCAATTCTAAACAGAATTGACAAGGTTGATAATTAGTTAATGAAAGATAAACTATGGAATTAGTTTGACAATTCTTCCAAACCCAATTGCATTGGCAGTTTGGTAACATTACAAATATATTGTCAAAGATATGTTAATATCAAAGTGGGAAAAACCTGAAATCACTGAATGCTGTTAGTGTTTTTCATTGGAATCCCAATTCACAGTTGGCATATTTGCAATGCTTCTTACAGGAAGGAATTTCATCACACCTACACCTGGGTGAGTGATGTGAGAATCAATACTAGAGGCATTGGCAAACAAGACATTGACAAGTGGTAGTATTCTATTAGCTGAAGCAAAAGAAAGATAGAATATGCAATAAATGAAAGTTGTAAACAATAAGAGATACCACAAAAGGGACAGAGAGGAAGAGATGGGGAAAACAAGACAAAGGGAAGAAGAAAGGAAGAGAGCTGAAAGAGTTCTGCCTCCCCATGCCTACCTCATCACTGCCCAGTTTTCGTAGGAGCTCTTTGTTGGGGGTCCCGACAAGAGCCATGATGCGAAGCAGTTGGTCAATGTCTGTTCCATTCATCATCACCAGATAAGGAAAGCAGAAAAAGGAAGCAATCCACCTGTTGTGCTACCAGTCCAGTGCACTTCACAATCCAGACAAGAGACAACAGATGCATGCAAAGATCCCACCACACCCCAGAAAAAAAGCTGCTGTGAGGATGAGGAAGAGAACAAGGAGGGTTGAGAAACATGCTTGTAAAATGACTTTTCCACTTACAGAGTCACTGGAGATCTTCTCCATAAAATCTTCAGATGGAGTGCCTAGTAGGTTCATAATCAGGTTCAACTGATGGATGTCTAAGGTGCAGCTATGAGTGAAGGGAGTACATACAAAAATAAAACCACTATTCATGCAACAAGATATGTTTGAAAACAGCAAGCAGGACAGCTTTACTAGTTCCTTCATGTTCCTTAGACCTTCACTGTATGAACTTGAACTCTCATGCATTTCTCTCATCTTAAATTTAAAGATAGCATTGAAGAATTGAGCTCTCCAAATTGTATTTTAGTTGGTTAAGATTAGGAAATAAAAACATCCAGCAGATACCTGTATTGAATTATCTGACTGAAACTTCAAAGTTGTAAGTGCTGAATGTCAATCAATACTCTCCCACTTTTCTGCTGCCCAGGGCAACATTGGCATGTAAAGGGAACAAGAATCAGCTATTAATAAAAGAGGGTAGGGTTCTCAGTTGGGACACTAAAATATAAGACTCTTAAATTTAAACCAATTTTAGATCTAAAAGTTTAAGGGGATGGCATGAGACTTGATGTTCATACAGGAAAGGGTCTTTGCATATATACACTGCTGGCAAATGAAAAAGGATCACCTAGAATGAGCAATGCTACAGCCATCAAACTTTGGCCATTTATTGGAGGCACTGAGTTATGCAAATGATAAATCACTCTCCAATATCTGGCATCCTGGTGACATGATGCAATCATGTGATGGCCATGGATGCCAGGTATCAAAGAGTGATTTATCATTTGCACACCTCAGTGCCTCCCATAAATGGCCAAACTTTGGTGGCTGTAGCATAGCTTGTTCTATGTTGGTGGTGTTGGTGTTTCTATTTCATTTGTGTGTGTCCCAGGATATTTTTACTCCTAAAAAAATACATCAGTACATTTTTTCTGGAGGGAAGAAATTTACTGGTATATATGTTTCCCCCCTCAGGATATTTTTTCCCCCTTTTCCCCTATCAGTTTTGCTAGCCCACTGTATGTTTAGCCTCTCCCTACCCATTTCAATACATTGTTGAACTTGCAAATATCTCTGTTTCCATTTTCCTTTGGCATCATTTGATACACTGATACTATTCCCCATAAGGTTTACAGTCTTCTTCTATATTATCTGGTCTTGCTTCATGGAAAAAGAGACATGTATCAGCTGATTGTCCATACTAATTTACACTTTTGGTGCAAAACTTCTGCCTTTCTTGCCATGAATGTTCTCTTTTTACCATTGAAAGGACAACAGAATGTGACATATCCATGAAGTGAGTCAAAAGAAAAAAAAAAGCACAGAACAAAGAACCTCTAAGAGTTTCACTAAAACCTACAAGAAAAGCTGAAGTTGCAGGAGGGAGAAGAATATTCTGAAAGAAAGAATACACTGTGACACCGGCAGTGTATATAATTGGCATAACTATCCATCAGACAGCCCTGCATGGTAGCAGGCTCACTATTTTTCAACACCTCTCACACATTTATCAGTCTTTTAACTACAGCAACTGACCTAAAAGATAACATTCCAGAACCAGTCATGTATAAATACCAACTGAAACAAAACACACACTCATTCCAGAAAAACCTCTCTTGGGTGTGCATGTCAAATTTTAGAACTTGCATTGCTTCCTGGTAAGCAATCATTACATAAGAAATCATTGACTTTTGAGCACACTAACACACATCCTTTTCATAATTCATGCTTCCATTTAACAGCAAATACATATACAGGGTGGGTAAAAAAAAAAACAGTTTTCAACAGTACACTACATTTCACTCACAACATATACAGGGTGTCCATAAAGCTACTTCCCTATTTCAAAAGGCACCATCTCCATTATGGAGCGGTCTAGACACTTCATATTCAGCACGGAGGATGTACAGCCAATGGGATTTATGATAGCAAAGTTTCCAAAAAGTTTCCAAATATAACCACCAGGGCAGCATTGTACTGGCCTGAGACATGGTCCAGAGGCAGCACATATAACTTCATCAGTGTGAATGGCACAATCAGACCTGTAGGTATTCGATGTGGCCACCAGCTACCTCCATCATTGCCTCCATCCATGTAATGATGTGATAGATGGCAGAATGTAATTGGTCAGACAACAGTGACAGAATTTGGTGCCTCATGCATTTCCATGAGCTCCACTTCGTTTGCAGGATGGCCACTGTAAACTGCAAACCTTGGACTTGATACATCTCCCATTCTATGGAAGGGCCCCATCCTGTCCCTTTTCAAACGTACGTTCCAGGATCATGTAATTAGCAGGTCCTTCCCACAGGCCTGGCTGCCAAGGTCACTGGATCTTACAACTGCAGACTTCTGGCAGTGGGGTTTCCTTAAGTTCAAGTGGCCATCCTGCTAACTTAGTAGAGCTCAAGGAATGCATATGGCACCAAATTCTACTGCTGTTGTTTCACCAATTATGTTCTGCCATCTATCATGTCATTACACCAATGGAGGTGATGGTGGAGGTAGCTGGTGGCCACATCGAATACCTACAGGTCTGATCATGCCATCCACACCGATAAAGTTAGATGTGCTGACTTCAGACCGCATCTCAGGCCACCCTGGTGGTCATATCCTGATACTTTTTTGGAAACTTTGCTATCATAAAGGCCCTATCTCCATAATGGAGATAGGGCCTTTTGAAATAGGGAACTAACTTTATGGACACCCTGTATTTTTATGCAATTTACAACATTTGAAAAAGAATGAAAAATGGTGTACTTACATTTCAAATATTTTCAACAGCTTTAGGAATTTGGGAGCTCATATGAACAACAAAGAAAAACTGTAGCTGCACACTTGGATGCAGATGGCATGTGTCCATCCCCACTGCAGCAAAAACCTGCAGTTTTTGTTTGCTGTTCATATGAGCTGAATTTCTGAAACTGTTGAAGATATCTGAAATCTAAGTACACTATTTTAAAGCATAAGTCATTCCTCTTTCAAATGCTACAAGCTGCATTAAAAAATATGCAGAGTGCAGTATCATTGAAAACTGTCTTTTTTTGGGGGGGAGGCACCTTTTCACCTTTTTCTTGGATGTCAAAAAAACATCTCTGGAAATGGCCCATCTTTCAAAATGACCTCATTCTGATTTATAAGTCACAAGGTTTCTAGGAAGACCAAGGCTCATGGCTTTTAGAAATATCATTAAGACTGAGGTGAACATGGATCAGTACTTTTGGCATAAAAGCAACCACTACTGATAAAAATTTTGTGCTTGGAAAGAAATAACAAATAAGATGATTAAAAAGGTGAAAACTAAACAAGAAATTAGCAGTATTACTAGCCCAGTTCACATCATTCTTGGCTATTACTAATAAAGGAACTTTACAAGTCAATTTTCACACCTATTGAAGCTCAATACAATACGAAGTGTCACAATTCAAATAAGCCATCCATAAGTGAACAAAATGATTATAAAGGAAAGTTGCACCTATACTTATTGAAGTGTACATTTTATGATTATATGCAAGTTAGACAAGCTTCTCTTGGTGCATTTTCATGCTGATGCTATACTACAAAGTGTTACAAAGATATGATGATGAATGTTGAGACTGTCATTGACAAGTCCAGGATAGTGTAAATTGCATTCAGACAGAATTCACAAACCATACTGATGGTTATCAAATGGCTACAGGAACTGTCAACTGAGGAGCAAGAAGCGAGTATGGAAATAAAACCATGAAAGGATACGATCTGTGCCAGGGAAGAGGGTCCGAGAGGTCAATAATTCAGCCATGATGCAACCAACTGACCAGACATCAACTATATCAAAGAGAGCGAAAAATAGGCTGTGCTGGACTGATAAACCCTGTATACATGTAAAACTATCAAAAATATGCAACTGCTTACCGGTTTGGTTGTAATGCATCCAATTGAGCATGATCTCAGGAGCACGATACCACCGGGTCGCTACATACCCTGTCATTTCTTGCTCTGCTTGCCTTGCAAGTCCAAAATCCAAGATCTTTAGTTCACAGTCCTCATTCACAGCTATATTGGAAGGCTTCAGGTCCTGAAAGCAAATGGGTGAAAAAAATTTGATTCATCTGCCATATGCCAAAGTATACCAGAGGAAACCATAATAGCAAGGCATACTGAGAGCATCAAGTAAAGAAAGGGTAAGAGGTTCTTCTCACCCTGTGAATAATGCCAGCTGAATGGATATATTTGAGACCTCTAAGAACCTGATACACAAGGAATTGTACATGGTCATCAGAGAGTCGTTGAGTCTTGATGATGTTATTCAAATCTGCACCCATCAAGTGTGTGACAAGATACCTACAAGGAAAATGAATAGAAATGAAGTTGTAATAGAACTGGTGCATGATCAGCCGGGCTAGAATGAACCTCAAATATTGATGATGCACTTACAAATCTTCAAACTCTTCAAGAGATTCTGAAGGCATGAACACATCAAGAAGACCAATGATCTAAAAAAAAAAAAAAAAGGAAATAACCATTTTTATATCAGTACCACTATTACAAGATAGTTAACAGCAGAGGAAACATGATAGGCAGTTGAAAGTTTGACTGAAAGACATTTAGCAAAGAACAAGGAAAGAAAATCAATGTGAGTAGGGCATTTTGCAGAAAACTGACATTTCAAATACATCTCAATTTACCAAATATGTTTTGGCTGAGGGGGTTTGTTTCACAAAATAATGTTTCCAGACAAAACCTATGGTACAAACTAGGTTGAAAGTCCTCATTCAGATCTGACAGCTTCAAGATAGTACACCCAAGTGATGCCACTGCTGTGCCTGAAGTATGGCATTAGCATTATGCCATTGGTAATGGAACTATGTTATTCCAGGGTTTTACCAGCATTAATTGAAGGTTACAGGCCATTCATTTGATATAAAAAAGAGAGAAAAGAAAGGATTATTGGCATAAAATTAGTAATGATAGAACCTGAAATGTGGCACTATGTTCCTGGTTTGAATTTTTCAATAAAACAGCTTGAAAACACTTCAAAAAACTGTTTTCAGGAACAGACTCTACAAGAAAAGAACACCCAAATGCCAGATACTAGCCCTCTATGACTTTGGGCAGGGCTATTATATTTTAATCTCCACACTGACATTCACATGAATATTTATCTTGTGAGGCCCTTTGCCTCCTTAATATGATTATCACACTTTAAGCCAAGGGTGGCCATACTTCCTTACCTAACAAGCCACAAACTAAATATTCACATGGGCCAAGAGACACAAGTCACACACCACTTTATGCATGCATTCTCCAGCATCAACACTACAATTTTACAAAAAGATTCATATCTTCATGAGTTATGCTAGATCTGAAGGGGAGCTGCTTTTTGGTCATTCCTGCTTTAAGCCTTTGGTGCCCAGCAGGATGATACCCTCTGTTGTATGCTGTAAGAGGACAGTCTTTATGCTCCAGGTTGCAAACATATCTCAATGTGGTACACAGGGTAACCTAGGTGGAGATGCTAAGGGTGAAGAAAAACAAAAACAAAAAGATACACACACAAATTTGTACTATTATAAGTTGTAAGCAAGAGTGAGATTCAATTCAAGGATATGGTGTAACTTTTGTTTTTCTATGTGAATGCCTCCAGCCATGATGCATGCATGCAACTGAAGTTCAGTTCAGCATAGTCATTCAGAAGCATTTCAGGAGTCATTCTTTGAATGGTGCTAATGATGCACTGCATGAGATCTGGCAAGTTTTGAGGTTATATTGCATAGACATTGTTCTTCACATAACCCCCACAAAAAAAGTAAAGTGGACTTAAGTTTTGTGACCAAGCCAGCCAAGGGATAGGTCCAGCATGTCCAATCCAGTTGCAGCCAAATGTTTTATTGAATCATGGGCATACTATATTAGCAAAAAGAGGAGGAGCACCATCCTGTCAGAACAAAACATTTGCAATGTCGACACTGTTAGCTCGAATGTCTGTGATGAAAAACATTTGTAACACGGTCAGATAATCCTTAGAGTTGATAGCATCTATGAGAGAAACCACTCTTCTATTAGGCATGGATATTTATATTTGTGGAGGAAAAAATATGTTTTACAGAATGTATATTACAGTTACAGTGGTGTTTGACTCATTGTAAGAAAGGGGGAAAAGTCCTGGCAGTATGCCAAGCTCACACACACATCTGTTCCTTCTCTCGAGTAAATCAGTCCACAGATCGTGAATCAAACATGATAATAATTTTTTTCATGAAGTAGTAAAACACTTGAGATAAAATTCATTGACACTAGGTTACCAGAATGCTTAGAGATCTCACTGAAGCATATATTGGGCTTCTAGAGTTGTGAAAATCCATATGGTAGTTTAACATGAACAAAAATCAGAGGATTTAATCAGACCTTTAAGCACGCCTCTTACATTTTCATGCCGCATATGCTTCAGCATCCGGAGTTCTCTATAGGTGCGTTTGGCATGTATGGCAGACTGAAAGGGTCGGGCCAACTTCTTGATTGCAACTTTTGTCCCAGTCTCCGAGTCCAATGCAGAGCTAGAAGAAAGAACATAATAATGGTCTTATTTTTTTAATCCGAGATACATCCTACTTTTGTCAGACTGTAAATTGGCATCAGCTGGTTCTTATTCATAACTCACCAGACTTGCCCATAGGCACCAGATCCAACTGGAGTGAGAGATGAATAACGTTTGGGAACCTCCCACACAGTCTTGTTCAATTCCACTGAATAAAAGCCTTCTTTCATGGTGATCTTGTATGCATTTCATCAAAGGTTCTACTATCAACAAAACTGATGACTGAGTTCTATGACAATCATAGCATGTTCGTATGATAGCTTTTGTATTGTATCAGTTCTGCAGACCAGAAAGAATGAAGCCAAATAAGCTACTAATTAATGTTACATGTTGATCAATCTAATCATGACTTAAAGCCATGAACATAGATCTCGGGCAGATGAACCACATATATCTCATAATTAAACCAAATAAGTGTAGCCAGTTCACATAATGACCATATTTTAGACCTTTTGAAATTGTGAGTCAATTCCAAGATGTAAAATGGAACCTGAGATGCAACCTCAGTAAGTTTCAGATCTATAACCTAAACCTATGGCAAAAGCTACCAGTTAGCACTCATGGGCAATGTTTTCTTCAACAATAAAAACAGGGGCAAAGAGGGTCAAATGCCAAAAGCCATTTGGTCATAGCTATTAATCTATAGTATTAAAAAATCCAAAGATCAATTGATCATCAAATAAAGGGTTTCCCAAAAGTAGGTGTCATTTTAAATTTTGCGGCATTTCTGAACGGTCAAAGTTTGAACGTCAGTATTTGACAGGTGACAGCTAAAAATTAAGAGGTTTGTGCAAATGGAACGATACAGTCGCATCGCATAGAATTTGTAAAAATTATTTTTTATTTCCAACAAGACGGCACTACATGCCACACATCTGGCAAAACAATTGGGCTATTGCGTGAGAAATTTCCTGGTTGCGTCATTTCACGAAATGGGGACATCAATTGGCTGCCTAGATCGTGTGATTTGACACCGTTGGACTTTTTCCTGTGGGGATACGTGAAGGGGAGAATCTATGCTAATGGTCCCAAGACGACTCAGGAATTGAAAGACAACATTCGAGCTGTTATTCGTGATATTGAGCCAGAAATATGCCAAAAAGTCATGAAAAACTTCATCAAAAGGATGATCATTTGCCAGAAGGGTCAAGGTGGACATTTAAATGATATCATATTTCACACTTAACCTCCATGTTTGTACTTTGGATTGAAATAAAAATATCAGCACTTTTTCTTTCCCTATACATTTAGCAAATTATCTGTATGGATAGTTCGAATCAGAACATCTTTATTTCTGAACTTCCGATGGATTATTAGTAATAAATTAATTGCATTTTTTTCCTAATTTAAAATGACACCTACTTTTGGGAAGCCCTATATTTAGGCCCTAATGCAAAAACCTCATTTAGGGGGGGATAAAGGGGTCTTTAAACTAAAGAGCTCTTTTTCCCCAATAATATTATATTCTTAAAGGGCCACTAACTAAAGGAGGTTTCAGTCTTAACTCTTTGTGCTCACATTTTTTAGTGTAATGATGTCCAGCCAGCTCAAGTTAATTTTTTGTGATTTATACCCTTGGGAGTTACTTCATGCTGGGCATGTAAATAGACATAAAAGTAGGGTGTTTAAGGTTTTATTGATTTACAATGCCTTCTTCAGATACTTTCCAATAAAGTATCACACCTTGGGATTCATGGTGGGGCAAGTGCAAGTATTGGCCAATGAAGCCAGTGGAACTGTTCAAGCAAATGGAATTTTGGCACTACTGCTGCAATCAAATATTCATACCTCAAGTCATTGAGTGCAATCTTGAATTTGATATAGTTAGAAATGGCATACCATGCACTTTTGAATGAAGTATTGAAACAATGAATTCCAGAGGTGGCAAGTGTAGGTATTGACCCCTGAACTTGATCAAACTGTTTGGTAAAGTGGAAATTCTTGTGTTAGTGGAAATCTGTGATGTCAGATGTAGTCTGACACATGAGCACAAAGGGTTAAACTCTTTCATGTAAAAAGTACAAACCTGTCCAAGAGTCACCTGACATCTCCATGTCCTCAAATTCATTGTTCACTCTGCCTACAATTTGAGATGATACTCCTGTAATCTCAAGTTTGCATTGGCTTGTGCTAACTTTGGAGTTGTATCAGGACCATAAGTCTAGCCATAAGCGATATGGATTACAGTTACATTAGGGACCTTATGGCCCCAATTATAAGGCCCCCATTGTAACTGTAATCCTCAAACCCTGATTCTATTGTTGCCATACTCTCCATCCAGGAAATTTGAAGCTAACTCCCTAAAATGCATCAACATGATGAGGGGAATGGGGCATATAGGTTCTGGACCTTACTCCCCCCAATGAAGAGCAGACCCTTTGCCCAGCATCCCACCCTACTGCTCGCAGACCTCCCATTGGAATCTGTTTCTAGCTCTACAACACCCCTGATCTCCCTACATTTGATTATCCTAGACATAGAGGTGCAAACAAGGGGGTGGATCAGGGGGTCTGAACCCCCCTCCAAACCCCTCCTCATAATAGTATCCCTCTACTTCCCCATCCCCCCTCTCCCTGAGGGTGGGGGACGCAGAAAGATATCATGAGCAAACGACCTGAGAGCAAGGCTGGAAAGGCACAAAGATAGGAGAAAGGTGAAGGTCACACCAGTTACATGTAGCAACTCACTTTAGTAAAGTGAAACTGTTGAGGAAATGTCCTGCACATGTGACACTACTGAATTTTTTCCTGAAAACAGGACAACAATTCATATAAAAGGCATGAATTGTACAAGTTAACCCTACAAGCACTGAGTTTTGACTCGACCTCCTAAGTGATGCATGTATGGCATACGTGAAAACAGCTTGAAGGGTTAATGAATTTCCAGTTGCACATCTGTGCAGTGATATTTGGGCTGAATCCCAAAATTAATTTAGTTAATTTTAAGCTTTTTCAGATATCGAATGTACTTTCATCATTTAGTGTTCAAATTCCATTTCCTCCATTTCATAACATTTTTTTTTGTTTCATTTCCTTTGTTCGCGTGTTCACACTGTTTCGTGTTTTTGTTGAGTATATCTCTCTTGATGATTTGATAACACCTTCTTGCATTCGGAGACATTTGAAAGACAGGTCATGAGAATTTCGAACCCCCCCCAAACTTTAGGACTGGTTGTGCCACTGCCTAGACATGTTGCTGCTCTGAATAATGGCTAATAATTAAACAGTTCCAACAAACTATACTGCTATCTGAATGAATCTCATGCATAACTTTTTCCAGATCAAGTTCAATTTGTCACTGGCAGCCTGGAATATGACCAATCCATCCCATGCCTAATTGGAATCCAGTTGGTAACTGTTGGCAGACTATTGTAGGTTATAGGCTGTAGCACCAAATAACCCACAATACAAAGTGTTCCAGGAAAATGTATACACAATTAAAATCCTTATTAACTACTTTCTTATTAGTAGCAACATTGCCAATGACAACTGACAGTCATAGACAAAATGGTACAGGCAACACGTTCCTCTGTGAATTAGAGTGCAAATTTAGAAGTGGTATTGGAAAAAGGAGAAAGTGTGTAAAGTGCATGTTTGTGGCAAAGAGAACTTGAGGCACAGCCACCTACAAGTTTAACGATTGCCAGAATATGTGAAAAGTTTAATACTGAATTGAAGGAGAATATCAGAAACTCATTTCAAGAAGTCACCGTGGAGATGTGAGCTACAGTTCACTACTCAGTCCTTCAAAGGTGCCGAGAATGTTTAACGTTAGTGTTCACAAGACGTACAATAGCCACTGATGGTGCACAACTTGAACATTTGAGTTAAAATCCTAAGTCAAAGCAGTTAATACGTACAGTCTACTTTATATTATGGTGTACTGTAGTAGCATTACAAGTAATGTGAATAAACTAACATAGACTTGTATCTTCCATACAAATTTTCTGAACATTCTGTGTTCAGTTAACGCCATATACCCGACTGTCAGTTGTCTCGACATCTCGTTGAATCCAACTTTACACCGTGCGCCATAGTTGCTAGCCATAATGGCATAGGCAAGGCCATAAGGCTATCCTGTGCCATCTGGAGAAATGCTGGTTGCCAACTACATTAGCGATAGAACTGTCGGATCTAGTGACAAAACTTCGGGCCCAGGCTAAATGAATGGGAGTATTTGGAAACAATATGAAAAAAAAAACAACATAATGATCGCCGATTGAAAACTATTTTCTCGTGAATGGGAGGAGGGGGTGCAGTCTGGCGTCCACAAAGGGAAGTTGAAACGTCGCCCGATCATGAGAAAAGACGACCTCACGGATGATCATGGGCTCCGCCATAATGGTCCCTGTCGCTCCCAGCCCTGATTCATAATGGCGGCGCACAATTGTTTTATGCAGGTATGACGTGCAGTCAGTGGGGGAAAAAATGTGCACCAATATTTTACATTTATTCAGCTTTTTCCGACATTAATCGAAATTTCCAGGCTATATGACAGAAACTCAGGCAGGTGTTCGGAAAATGTGCGCAAATTACTGAAACTAAGGAGGGATTTTGGAACAGACAACTACCCGATTACAAGAAAATATACTGCGCTCCAAAAGTCTTGCAACACTTTTTCCTTATCAAAATTTTCAACACCTATGGCAACATCTGCGAAAATTGTTATATACTCAGACAGCTTAATCTGTTATCTTTGCAAAATGTCTCCTCGTGTCATGATTTGTGCCATGGTTTGTCCGAAAATCGCTTCAGAATCCATCTGGTTCGGTTATTAACTCGGTTCCTAGGCATTTGTCGCCCAGGGCAAGGAGTTCCAATGCCCCCCCCCCCCCCCTCCCCACCAAACCAACAACTGGGACGCGAAGCACCACCGCTACTCTGGCGATTAGGGCTTTATCCCCGGAAATTGGAATGGATGGAAATTATTTTGTTACAATTGCAAATAATCAAAGCCAAGTGAAGGCATTTTCTTCCACGCTAACCATATTTAAAAAATAATAATAATGATTGTTTTTATTATTGTATTTCTTTGCGCGGCACACCCCCCTCCCCCCTTCCTCCCGCAGGCGCCCCCGGCACGATAGCCCGACCCTAGAAACGGCGAAACGGCCCTGAACGACATTCATTCATCGATGGATGCATAAGGGCAGTCCTAATTTTTCCTTATTTGAGAGTTTTGGTTACCCGTTTTTTCAGGAGACGGGGACGCGAACATATTAATAGGCGTTCAAGTTCTCGATTTTCGAATGGCAGTTTGGCTACGCGTTTCAGATCTGGAACGGAGAGTAACATCCA